TCCGTGCGGTTCTCTGCCGTTCCTCCGGCACGCCTGCGGTCAGAGCTGCGGCCCTGCCCACCTCCCACCCCCCATTTGTGTGTGGGGAGGCGGGGTGACCCCCCCCAGGAAGAGCATTCCTCCCCATTGCCGCGTCCCCCTGCTAATTGCTCTTAATTAAAGGCTTTGGCTGTCACGTTTGTTGGCTGTGAGCAGTTCCCTGTGACTCCTCGCTCAGCCACGCTGCAGCCCTTCCTGGTGTGGGCACAAAATGGACCGTGCTGCAGGGGAGCCGAGCTGATCTCCATGCGTGGGACCTCCGTGCAGCCCCTCTCTGTGTGCCAGCAGGTCGCCCTGCTGTCAGGGGTGCTTTAAAGCAATGAGAAAGAAGGATCCCGTGCCACCTGTTTTGTTTTCTGGGCTGTTTTGGTGCTGTTTGTCCAGCTTTAATCTCCTCTGCAGCAGCACTCCATAAAACGCAGCACATGATGGGGCCAACTGCTGTATAACAAAGGTGTGTTTTATTGAGGCCAATGAAAGGCACTCAGCTGTGCTCTGAGCCACGACTGTCAGACCATTAAGGATCAAGGCAGCGCCTGTATCACAAGCAGTGCTGAAGCTTTGGAGCTCTCAGCATCTCCCTCTCTTCTCACAGATTACTGCATGAACCCTCAGACCGTTCTGCTGCTTCGTGTCATCGCCGCCTTCTGCTTCCTGGGCATCATCTGTAGCCTCTCAGCCTTCCTGCTGGACGTCTTTGGGCCCAAACACCCGGCCCTGAAGATCACTCGTCGTTATGCTTTTGCTCACATCCTCACAGGTAATTCCCAGCAGTGCTTGGAGGGGCCCTGGGGCTGATGGTTCAGCCCCCTGTTTCCATCTCTGCCCCCTCGTTAGTTGCCTTTCCTACATGCAGAGCTTTCCCCTCGCTCTGTTCTCTCTGCTTGAAGCCTGAAGGGTGGTGGGTTTTGTTGCTGCTTCATGGTAGCACAGCTCTGACTTCCAAAGCAGAGCTCAGTCTGGGGTGGGAGAGGTGAGGGTCCTCAAAGAGGCCGAGCAGAGCAGGGCTGTGCCCTTCTGGGGAAGGTCACAGGCTGTGACTCATCCGTGTGAGGCTGAAGGAGCTTTATGTCCCTGATCCCTGCCAGCATTAAGCACATCAGAGCGCTGAGCTGCTCACTGGAGCTGTAAGCCCCGTGCTGCTGTATCTGCCCTGCTCCTTGTCGGCCAGGGAGCCCTTCAGCCTCACCTCACAGCCCTCCTCCTCCCCCCTTTCCCTCAGAAGGCAGTGGTTCCTTCCCCAGCCCGTGCTTACTCCATATATCTGTGCAGCTGCAGCCTGCCTCAAAGCCACAAAAAGCTGCTTCTGTTTTCTCACTGGAGTTCAGTCTCCTTGTCTAAAAGAAGGTGCAGATCATACCCAGCCCCTTTTCCTCCCCCTTGTGTCCAGTTTTACCCCCATGTTCCTGCTTTGTGGCCGTGGTGGCTTTCCTCCCCGATGCTTTAACCACAAGTTTAACTCCCCGATTTCCTTCCTGCCCACCCAACACCTCTCCTTTCCCCCCCTCTGTGCCCTCAGTCCTGCAGTGCGCCACCGTCATCGGGTTCTGCTATTGGGCCTCAGAGCTGATCCTGGCCCAGCAGCAGCAGCACAAGAAGTACCACGGCTCCCAGGTCTACGTCACCTTCGCTGTCAGCTTCTACCTGGTGGCTGGAGCTGGGGGAGCCTCCATCCTCGCCACTGCTGCCAACCTGCTGCGGCATTACCCCACCGAGGAGGAGGAGCAGGCCTTGGAGCTGCTGTCTGAGATGGAGGAGAACGAGCCTTACCCTGCAGAGTATGAGGTGATCAATCAGTTCCAGCCGCCTCCAGCTTACACCCCCTGATGCTGCGGGGCACGGGGATGGCTTCCTGCCTCCCTAAACTCTCCTTGGATTGGGGACACCGTCCTCAGTGCTTCGCTCTGGGGCACGAGAGCAGCTCCTTGCCTCCCTAAACTCTCCTTGGATGGGGCTGCTGTCCCAGTGCTTTGCAGTCCAGGCACCTCGAGGCTCTCCTGATTTTTTTCTTTTTTTCCCCCCCCCTGTGCCAGGGGAAGAACTGCTTTTAGAACGGGATTTCTTCATCCGAAGCCTCCCTTTGTTTTATGAACTCTGTGTTGTGATTTTAACCCTTTTCTCTTCCACCAACTGAAATAACACCGCTGTGGGGCTGAGCTCTTCCCAATCCCATGGACGATGGGGTCATCATGCTGTGCTGGAGATGAATTCCCACCCAATGAACGTGGCCCCAGCTCCGTATTTATCCATCTCCATAGGAAGTGTGCAGGTGGGGAGAAGCCTTTTGCAGCAGCAGCAGCACGACTTGGGACAGGCACAGTGCCTCTCCTGCACCGAGCACACGCATTTTGCACTTTAACTCACAAGGCTCTGCTGATGCAGGGAGTTCTGAGGGGTGCAGAGCTGCTGCCCCCCCCAGCTCCTGTTGTTTTTAACAGAGATGAATGGAGACTTTTGTACAGCGCCGGCTCTGAGGAGCAGATCGAGTCCATGCCAAGTGATGGGCTGTGGCTTTTATGCAAGATCCCAACGCCTCCACCCCGATTGGGAATTTTTTGGCTTCTTGTTCCCTTTCAGAGTCTTTGTGTCCCGCTTTGGGTTACCTCTGCACGCCCTGGGGAGGCGCTTAACCCTGAGCTGTGCAGCCAGCCCTGCAGCAACCTGAGCACCCAGCAGGGCGAGCGTTGCTTCGGGGCTGTCTGAAACAAAGAAGGGAAGCAAAGCGTGCCCACAGCCATCCCCTGAGCACCGTGCTGCTGGGAAAGCTCAGCCCCAGGAGGAGATTTAGGGCAGGAACGCTGCTGGATGCAGCTCCCTCTCTTCCTGACGCTCCCCCCCCTCCTCCTCCTGCACCGCAGCAGCACTGCTATGCAACGTGTGGCCGCGTCAGTGCCAGCAGTGACCCGGAGTCAGCAGGGCTGTGCTCGGGGAGCAGCCAGCATTGAGCTGTGGGGAGGGATTCCACGCAGCCCTCACGCTCCCCCCATCCCGACGTGGGCTGTGCTGCAGCCCCAGGTGCCGCTGCTGCGTTGTCCCAGAACCATTGAGACCCCCCTCCCCAAATCCTCCTTACCCCGTGATTATATGCAAGAGAGGGCTGGACTGTAAATAGTCTGTGCATACACGTTGTATTTCTGTACAAACACACACGACGATAAAGGAGAATGAGACGATTTCCTGCACCTCTACTAATCCGTGTAGCTTAAAGAGATCAGGGTGGGATGTTGGGGGGGGGAACGGGGGGGTCTTTGGGCCGCCCCTCGCAGCCCATCCCACGGCCTGACTTTTTCTAGAGACAATAAACCCGGTGTACAGAGCGTGTGGTGGAGCTGCAGCTTCGTTCCCTGAGCGCTGGGGGTGGGTTGGGGGGGGGGGGGGGGGGGGGGGGGCTCCTCCATTGGGGCGCAGAGCTCTGTGCCCCCCCTCTTCACCTCCCCCCTATTGCTGTGTGCAGCCCGATAACTGCCCTGCTCCGCAGTGAATGCATCCCACACCCAATAAACTCTGGACCCCGATGCTTTGCCCCCAGCCGCCCCCCGCCCTACAGAACCCCGCAGCCCTGGGGGGGCGGAGGGGATCCCAGCGTAAAACCCCGCCCCCCTCCTAGCCCCGCCCCCCCTTCTCCTCACCCAATCAGCGCGCGGGGCGGTGGCGGCATCACCCAATGGGCGTGGCGGTTGCCGCGGCATCCAATCGGCGGCGCGTCGCTTTTTGATGACGCACAAAGGGGGGCGACGCGGCCCGCGCACGGCGGCGGCATGTTGCAGCCGCGGCGGCCGCTGCTCGGCCTGCTCGCCCGTTGCGCTCGGGCCTCCCGCCTGGGCCCCCGGCCGCCTCCGGCCGCTTCTCCTAACGGCGGCGAGGCGGGGCGGCGCGGCCTGCTGGGCCTGCTGGCGCGGCAGTGCGGCTGCGTGAGCGGGCAGCGGGCGCGGAGGGCGCGGAGGGCCTGGCAGCTCGGCGGCGGCGGCGGCGGAGCGGAGGGGGCGCGGCGGGGAGGAGGAGGAGGAGGAGGAGGAGGAGGAGGAGGAG